TTTACCAAATGGGTTCAGAAACCAACCTCTGAGCTGAAAATGATGGTGATGGACACCTGAGCTTGCAGGGAGCCCCCCGGGGAAGGGATTTCTCCCCCTTGGGTGTAAAGAAGGAGTGCTGCGTCCTCAGAGGGGCTGTGGGACTCACACACGGTGATGCTGCACCCAAAATCCTTGCAGCAGGGGCAGATGAAGCTGGGGTTTGACGGGTGCGTCACCGGAGCCATCCATCACTGGAGCCATGCATCACCTGTACCTTGCTCCCAGCAAGAGGTTTTCCTTCCTGGAGCAGCAAAAAGTTTCTCCTGGAAGCTATAAGCACTCACAAAAATCACGCCTTGAAGCAGGATGAAAAGAACCAAGAGCAACAGAGAAAAGGAAAGAAAAACCCCAACAACCTGCCCCGTGCCCGGGATCAAAGCAAGGCGCTCTTTGGAAGCCCTTGCACAGAAATATTCCCGGTTTCCTTGGCCAAGCACTGCCATGAAAAGCCGCTTTGTTCCTGGGGCCTCGGCCTCCTGTTTGTCCCTGTGGAATTCCAGGGGCTGGGGGCAAGAGCTGGGGCCCAGCCCAGCTCTGACTCAGCGGCAGAGCTTTGATGGGTGCCCAGGGGCAGGATGAGGAATCACTGCTGCTCCTCTCCCTGGCCACCCACCCACCCACCTCCGAGGGCAGGTATGAGCTACCCAGAGCTATTTATTCCATGAATGATGTGCGTCCAAGTGCCCTTACATTCCTGCTCACCTCCTCTTCCGCCCGGATTCCTGTCTTCTCCACACCTCTTCCCAAACTTGAGGCCAAAGTTACACTTTTTGTTTTTCTTCCTTTTTTTTTAGCTATTTCTGTGGTCCTGGCCTATTTCATAAGATGCACCTGGAATTTCCCCCCAACATCTGCTTCTAGGTGTGTGTGTGGGGGGGCTCATCTTCTCTGGGGGGCTGGGGACAGCCAGGTTTGGCCAAAGTTCTCTTTGCCAGAGTTAAGGAGAACTGGGGCTCCTGCATCCCCTCGGTGTCAAATCTCCAGGATCCCACATCTCCAGGTCCTGCATCCCGAGGTTCCACATCCCCAGCTCTCAGCCTGAAGGTCTGAGGCTGACTTCAGTCCCTTTAACTCTGCAGTGCCTCACATCAGGCCAGTTCAAATCCCGCCCAGGTCTCGGACGCGGTCACGCTGACTGGTTTTGATGGATCTGATGTGGGATGGGAAGGGCGGCTTTGGCCAAAGCCCAGCCTGGGAAGCTCGGCCGGGCTCGGTGCGAGGGGAAAGCTGCCCAGAACAGACCGGCCCTGTGCAGAAACGGGAACCTGCGCTGCTGATGAAAAGTGCTTTCTTTGGGTAGGATGTTTGCGTTTCCTTTGGCAGAGCGGCCGCGGGAGCGCTCACAGCACCTGCGCCGGGCCGGCTGGCTCTGCTCCCGGCGCACCCATCCAGTCCCTTCCCTTGAAAGAGGGAGGAAAGGGAAAAGGGGTGGGAAGCGCTCTGGTGCCGGTTCTGCTTGAAGCAGGCTTGTGGCTGGTGAGTGCCTTGTCTGGGTAAAGACCTCTCCACGCACGCTTCTCCCCAGAGAAGCTCATGCAGGAGCCCAGGGAGAGGCGTATCTGCCAGTGTATCTGCTCCCGTGGGATGAAGGGGCACATGCTCCATCTGGGGCTTGCCTTTGTGGAACCCTGGGCCACTGTGACAGTTAATGCTCCTCTTCCTGCTCCTTATCCCCCTTCTGGGAACTGGCTCCTGGATTGCTCTGGTTTGCATCAGGGCTGGGAAGTGGAGCCAGCTGGGCCTGAGGCATGGGGCTGGAGGCTGCCTGCCCTCCTCCTCCTCCCTCTCTGCTCCAAGGCTGGGAGAATGGCTTGAGTTTGGCAGGGATGGGGAAGGGAAAGGGCTCTGCAGCCTTTGCATGACGTCTTTGTCCTCCTTGGGGCAGAGAACATGGCGGAGAAGGGGAGAAAGGGCTCTGCAGCCCTTTCTCCCCTTCTCCGCCATGTTCTCTGCCCCAAGGAGGACAAAGACGTCATGCAAAGGGTGCCACAGCAGCTTGTCCCCCACCCATTGCTTCTCCACAAAGTCAATTTGATTGCCCCAGGGAGAACATTTTGTCATTAGAAAGTGAAGATTTGGTGAAAATTCAGGGAGAAAACAGTAGCCAGTGAAGTGGTTTATCTCAGTCAGGGCGAGACGTCGTTCTTTGAACCCTCTGGGTAATGGGATGCTATCAGTAGAGAAAGGCTAACACTGGTGTGGGACTGTACCTGTTGAAATGCAGTCATTGTGCCGAGTTTTTTCCCCTTGCAAGCATTGTCCAGAGTCAGCTTTTGTGTTTTCCCATTTTGTTCCAATTTGGATGAAACCTGGCGAGTGAGATGACGAGATTTCCCCTGAAACAGGGATGCTGAATCCATGGCCAACCCTAATGCACCAATTTACTTGAAAGCTGCTGGCCCCTGCTCCAAGCTTGGACTTGATGTTCCAAGGGAAGGAAAAGCTCTGTGTCATAAATTGTTGGGAAGAATTATGGACAATATTCCTCCATCCTCCTTGCGTCTCCCTGGTTGTGCATCCTTGGGGTCCTGCTCCTTCTCAGGCACCTTTCCGCCCACCCAGACCCGATCATGGTGAGAACCGGTGTGAGAAGCAGCTGCACTGGCTGCATTTCCATGCTCAGCTGCTTCATTAATGGCAGATGAGTCTCCCATGCATCAACCCCACATAATTGGAGCAGGATGGAGGGGACAGGCCACCATGGCTCTTGTTGTTTCTATAAGGAACAAGGAACCATGCAGCCCACCTGAACTGCCTCACCATGTATTTATGAATGTCTGTGATACTTCAAGCTACAACGGGTGGTTGTGCTGCTCCAGCTGCCCAGCAACACGGTACCTATTAAACTGTTAGATTAAAACCAGTCTATTTTAAGAGCTGAAGCCAAGGAGAAGTGGAGTAGCTTTGTTTGCTGCAGCAAGCCCCCGGCCTCCAAACCACCAGTGATGCCTTATATCAAGGCATTTTGGCTGACAGAGGATGGGCTTTTGGAGATGGGCTGGGATATTTTTATCCCATGGGGAAGATCTCCACTACAACCACCTCCTGCCTGCCCCAGGGGGAACAGGAAGCCCATGGAAGCATCCCAGGGATTGTCTGTTATCCATCCGTGTAGGGCCATGCCCGGGACTGCTAGGACATCACCTTCCCCCGGGAAGGGTCCTGTGCATGATGGGGGAGCCCAGGGGACTTGCAGGAAGCTCCGTGGCAAGGCTGAGGATGGAAAAATCCCGCGGATCTGCCCTTTCTCTGAGCAGACATCTGAGCTGGGAGGTGTTTTTCTTTCCATCCAGTCAGCACAGCTGCTTGGAAATTTCCTACGCCGGCTCCCAGCTGTAATGTTTTCATAACGAAACAAACTGTCTGGCAGAGCCCTGAAAAACGATTCCCCAATTAGGGACTGACATCTTTCCTGTAATCCCACCTCATCAGCCCTTAGTAAAAGAAATAAACTAAATAATAATAGGAAAGAGCCAGTCCCCTTGCAGCATCCTCCCAGTTTCTCACCCATCTTTCCCCTTTACTCTCCTCCCGTTTAGGCACCCAGGGGTGCTGATGTGGTGGACATCAACCCGCAGCGCCCATGGCTCATCCATTGGGAGTTATATGGCTCCTGCTCCTCTGGGTGCTATATCTGGGGTGGCCACATCCTTCCAGCACTGAGCACCATCCCTGCAGACAGAGTGGACCTGATCTTGGGGTGCTTTAATATGGGAGATCCTCCTTGCTCACCATAAAGGTCAATGCCTGAGCAAGCTCTCGGGGTCCACTTGGATGCCCTCCACTCCCCAGTGCCATGACCAGGGGCTTTCCAGACCTTTTTGGTGCTCCGGGCCTGTGGGTCACCGATGGGGGGAACGCTGACTCAGCAGCCAAAAAGGCTTACCTGGCACAATGAGGAAATGCTAGCACAGCAGTTTGTTGTAAATGGTCAACTCAGCAGGTTGGAAGAACACCGCTCAGCAGCCTGTAAAAACGTCCACTCATCAGGTTGCAAAAGCACTGAGCCATTTGCAGCCCCAGCCAGACAAGCCATGCATAGACCAGGCCTCCCCTGCCCTGACTGTCGAAGGATGCTGGTGCAGCATCCCATCCCATCCCATCCCAACCCACTCCCAAGTTTGAGGGCTGAAGCACCCCAGGTTTACCCTTGCCAATCCTCACGCTTGTCCAAGCCCAAGCCCCAGCCCTTTGGCTGGCCACCGTCAGGCTGCCCTATGCAACTTGAGCTTCTCTTCAGGAGCTCCCAAGACCTCAAATGGAAAATGCAGAACATGCACATGGAGATGTATGTGTGTGGTAAACCCCGTCCCCAAGCATCCCATGTGTGGTCACAGCCTGGGACAGTAAATCCCAGGGCTGTGCTGCTGCATTGCCCAGAGCTCAGCTGTACATCACTGCAGCACTGGGACCATGCTGTGACGCTCCTGCTAACACCTCCAGTTGAACTTGAGGAGGATCAGCACCACCACCCACAAACTCATTAACTTTTCAGTGGCCCCAGTGCCTGGTGCTCACGGTATTGGGAAACCAACCTGTGATTTCCCACACTCTTGCAAAATCAAGGCTCTAAACCAATGCATCCAGATGAGCTGGGTCCTTCAAAAGGCTGCACCAGCCCTCCCTCCCCTTCCCAGCACCAGGAGCAGCATCAATAAACATGGCTTTCCCTGGTGGCAGAGGAGGCAACGAGGCATGCAAGAATGCTGCTGATGGCTCCTGCTCTCTCTAAAAACACTGTAAAAGGAACAGAGGAAAGGCTCCATTAAGGAGCTCACATGTGCTAGATGTAGCCCTCCTTTGCGTTGGCCCCAAAAGGGTTTTGGGGCCTGGCTGCTTCAGCTACTGCTTACAGCAAGTTGGACCTCTACAAGACTCTTTAAAGCCTCTGCTAAAGAAGGTGCTCATGGCTTCACAGCCAGGAGACACAAACACAGCTAACACCACGAGAGCCCCACCACGCTGCAGTTCTGGATTTATTAGAAACAGCCGTCAGTACATCCTTCGAAAACATTACATGTCAATGTGCTTTATTGCAACTTTTTATTGCATTTTTTTGATCTAGAGCAAGTAGGCCCAGGATGCGTAGTGTCTGGGATTTAAAAGCCCAACCATCTAGTAAAAGAAAGTACAGCAAAATTGGAACACACCTGGTGACAAGTACAGTGTTGCATTACTGAGCTAGGAACTACAGGATGACTTGTCTGAAAACACTAACATACAATTGGTTTCCTTATGAAGCAGTTTGATTCTTTTCTTTAAAAGTTAAACTACATGAATTCCTTTTTTTAATTTTTTTTTTCCTTTTTTTTTTTCTGACTACACCATAAACGACAGAAGAACAGGTTTTACACAAATAACAAACAAGAGTACCAAAGTTACATGCTGGAATTCATCTGGAAAACAAAACAATTTGATAGCTTCTGGAGAAGCAGGTTCTTAACAGATGCAGTTTCCCTTAAAGAAAATAGAAGTCAAAGAAAAGCAGAAACATTAATGCAAAGGTTATACAAAGGAGTGTGCTGTTATTTCAGCCCTCGATACAAGATCAAACACCCACTCATGCTTTACACTGAACCACACCTTATACAAAGAGTCCACTCACAAAGGGACACGTACCAACACCACCCATTGCACATCAGCTCTGGACAGGGGGATCTGGGGGGCTACTGAAACGTGCAAACGCTCCCTGTGCTATGCAGGAGAGCAAAAGGGTTTCTTTTGCTAAACCTTTGCTTGGACCAAAGCTGAATGCTTTGTCCCAGCAAGTAACACCCCAATTCAATTGGGTTTACAAACAAAGTAGGACACCCCCACCCAAGGAAATCCAGAGTTCAGCATTTCAGAAGCACATACGCAAGATGAACACAATAAACTCCTTTTCATTTGACAAAAACAAACCCAATTCTGCCTCAACACATGGCAGAATGTGCTAACAGGGAATTTTGTTTTATTTTTAAGGGGCAGTGCCACTTACAGCTAATGCATATAAATGTGTACGTGAATATATTTTACATATATCTATATACATACAGTACATATACACACGCGCACACGCACACACACACAGATGATGCAGACCATTACAATCCCGTGGTGCAATAAACAGCCAGATATACAAAATCAACAGGTTTCATCAAACATATCTTTGCTGGATGTAGAAGTCACTCACAAAAACAAAACAGACCAAAACCCCCAGCAGCCGACCAAACATGAACCCCCACCATTAGCCAACGCAGACTCAGAGGCAGCTTGTGGCTGGCCCCAGCATCCTACAACCCCCCCCCCCCCCAAGCAATGAGACTGATGCCGGGTGGGGGGTGGTGGCATTCACCCTTGGAGCCTTTTTTGGTCTTCGGATGCAATCATCGTTCCAAACAATCCTAAGCCTCTTGGCTAAAACCACTTGGAAAGCCATGGATACAGCACTGCTGAGTACAGCGTTGGCCAACGCTGATCTCGCAGGAGCAATCCCAAGGGAAGGTGGCGGAGGGGGACATCAAATTAAAGCTGCTTTCTCTAATACAGGTTGATCAAAGAGGTGGTTTTTTTCAGTCAAAAAGGGCCCGTTCTCACATGGTTTTTTTTTTTGCCTCTGAAGCTCACATGATACTTTTTAAAGGCAAATTTTAGAACAAATGCTGAGTCTCGTCTTAAAATACATTGTCTATGCCAATAGCAATTTAAAAAAATGCTAATTCTGCACTAATTGTATGGAGCTAGCCCCAAAGACCAGCACTTCAAGCACTGTCATGATCTGAACAGTTAACAAGCTAAAGCTCCCTATCTGCCCCTGTGAACAAACAGGAAGGAATTGAAAAGAATTCAAGAGAGATTTGGTTTTTTTCCCCCTTGCCATTTGGTGGAAAATATTTCTGCCCACAGAATGCAAGATTCACAAAAATGTTGGACAAACTTCATCTAACCCCATCCAAAGCTACTCCTCACGCAGTACTTAACTAGCCAAGCTGCTTCATGAACAGGCCCATGTTTATCTAGGCTAGTAACTCAGTTCCCTTCTCCTGGCTGCACACATTTTGCCAAGGGAAATGAGGGGATCAGCAATGCAAGTTCCCTTTTGATACAGAAAGAGGAGTAACTCTTAAGGACTTCTACGAATTTCCTAACCATCTCCTTGCACGCACATTTAAGGAGCGTACCACTGATTATTTCAAAGGGAAGGGTCTGCTTTGGCATCTCCTCTTTTGTGGTTCAAGAAAGAGGTCCTACTTCATGGTCTGTATACTGCTTCAAACTACAACCAGAGGGATGCTTTAGGATGCTGACCCTTCCTCTTCATTAAAGCTGAATTTGAGCAAGCCTAATCCCCCTCCTCTCACAGCATCTTTGTTCTTCAGGAATGTTATTTTGATTTTGCTGTTCCAAAAGCAGAGGTTGCAAATCAACATTAAGGAAACTACACTTAAGAAAACCTGATTTTAAATACGGTCTAAACAAAACAACCCCCAACCTGTCATAGTGCTTTGTAAAACTGCATTTTGAACCTGTCTCTTACCCCTCCTGATTCACCAGCAGTACCTGTTTCATGTCTGCACAATGCAGCAAGCATACAAGACTCACTAACATTTCAGATTTTTATTCCCTGTTAGTGTAACAGAAGTAAAAAATAAACAGACATTCAAAAACAGAAGCAAGATTGTTCAAGTACCAAAGAAGGGGCTTTTCCAAACTTACAAGGTGTGACACTCCTATAGCAATTCCACTGTTCTAAACAGCTGCAGCCTTCAATTACAGACATAGTGCCACCTAAGCCTGCAGAGAGGCCAGGATCTGGGACAACCAAGACCCTCCTCCTTCCCCTGTCCTCCCCAAAACAGCATTAAGTGTCAACATCAATTTCCACAGTCCCTATTACAGTTGCCTGGCTCTGTGAAGGACAAACTGATTTTTGCCCTGCTGTGACTAGAATTCAGGTATGATTAAATACAAGCTGTTTTCCTGGGAATGGCTTTTGGTTGTGGAAGTCTTGCTTACACTAGTGTCAGTGAGAAAATAATCAGGCCCATCACATTAAATGGAAAACTTCTTGACCATCTGCCACATCAAGAGAGATGGGTGTGAAAAGAGCATTTATTTTTGGCATAAGACAGAGGGGTGTGCTGGATATAACTCTAGATTGCAACTACCAGTGGTGCAAAGCAGAGACCCAATCTGCTGCTGCTGACAACTAAAGAAACCCCAAAACACCCCCAGATCTAGAGCACTCCATTATCGGGAGGTGGACAACCATATGTTATTGCTTCACATAGCAGTGAAGTGCCTGCTGGGATATCCCTCTGTTTCTAGGTTGGTTCTTCCCATGTTAAGATTACTTGTAATCAAGAAGGAAACTAGTGGGAAAAGATTTGTAACTTACTGACTTCAGAAACATGGCACTGGTGGCTGATGCAATGGGGCCAATGGCAACTGTGGAAGTAGACCTGATTTCCATCCATACAGATACAAAATACTGAATCACCCCTGATCCCTGCAAATATACTTCAAAACAGATTAGAAGAAACTGTGCATATTCGAGTTTCAACACTCCCCACCCCCATTTAACACTGTGCAAAAAATTACTTAATTCTACATATATATTTAATACAACATGGGTCAATGAGATCAGTACTCCTCTAACTGCAGTCTGGTAACAGACAGCTGCTACAACAGTGAGACTATTTCCCCTTTCCTCCTGATGTTTTGACTCTTAAAATGGAAACCTTCTCACATCTTACTGTTTTAAAAGAGCTTGAGTTCTTGTGTGTTGCCTTTATATCCACATTTCCTGTATTTGTTTTAGGTTTAGCAGCTGCTTCTCCTAGTAGGGTCTAATCCTGCAGCTCACAAGCCTATTTCTGATTTCTCAGTCATGCAAGTGTAGAGCAGCTCCTGGAAGCCATGGGGTTTCTCCCAGCTCTAACACTACTGAACAAACAGAAGCAGGCTGAACACAGTGAGCGCAACAGGACCAAGCCCCTACCCCACGGATCACACCAGCTACACATCAGTTGGTTTTACACCCATTTCCACTTGCTCTGCAAGTGCAAAAAGGCTGCAGACAAAATCTGTGCAATAGCATGAGTCAAAGGGGAGCAATTGGAGCAGCTGGGACTTCAGATGCCTAAAACCAAATACAGAGAGATGGAGCGGCAAAACACAGCCTCAGAGAAACTGCTGAGGGTAATAGAGCCAAATAGGAGGAACGTGGGCTTAGTCTGCCCATAGCCCTGATCTGAAGGCTTGGGCAAAGCAGAATCTCAAAGAATGCTTCAAGATGGCTTATTGGCTCTGAGTGCATCATTCACAGCAAATACATCACCTGTGATCAGCAGAGAGATCTCGGAGAGTGGGGGGCCAAGAATCCCAACTCACTCACACCACTATAAAACGAAGCTACCTCCATGGATGCCAATGGAATTACACTGTATTTACCTTGGCAGAGACGGGACCGGAGCCTGGCCCAAGACCTCACAGGATCAGTTAGATTCCACAATGGGGGAACTTCAAACAGCCCCGCTCTGCTATCCTGCTGCTGTCAGTGCTGCGAGGGTGTGCCAGGATTTATGAGCCTGAAAGCAGACCCGTGTTTGTTTAAAACAAAACCAAACCCTACCTAAAAATGAGGCAGATGTGAAACTTCAGCCAGGTTGTCTCTGTCACAAAAGCAGGGATCAGAAAGAAGTGCCCCATCAGCCTCAAATGTTCACACTGCAAATAAGGGGAGAGCCCAGACAGATCACAAGGGCAGAGAAAACAGACACTCCTCTTGCACAGGTTTTTCCAGAGGCATGAGGCACCTGGCTATCATTTGTGCCTTTGAACTGCTTTTCCTCATCAAGCATTTGGACTCAGCCCAGCACCAAGGGAACATGAGATGCATAAGAGGTGTGAGAATGACAGCTTTACAGCTACCAGATTAGAACTGCAAATTATCCAAGAGGTAGGGCAAGTTTCTTTAAAAAGAAAAATTTCCATGTCCATATACCACTGAGGAATCCATTCAAGATTTTCACTAAGAGCAAAGGCTGTGTCTCAGTTTTCCTTTTCTTGGGGAAGTGGTAGAGAAGGGCACACAAACAGACATGGGTCACTTTGATGAAACTGCTTGAATGAATTTTCTTCTTCTTGCAGAAAGTTTTGGTTAAGTTTTGTACTGTTTCATGTAAAGTGGCATCTATAGAACTCTTTGCCTGAAGATTGCAAATCTGGCTGATTAGAAAGTGCCTGGGATAAGTCAGGGTTATTAGTGCAAAAAAAACCATCTCACAGGCATACCAGGCAACCAGACTACCCTTCCTGCAGTGGCTGCCAGTGCTCCAGCCTTGTCACTTCCCTGCTTGTAAAGTCACGGCATTCAGAGAAATAATACTTCTAGTGTAAACATTAAGCATCAACAAGCCTAGCATTGCTGCCCAGGCATTAGAGAAAAGAAAACCCACCACATTTGGACAGGAAATCAGTCCCAGGGTCAGAAATAGGCCTACAGCATTCTCAGACCTGCATGACTGTCTGCTTCCTGTCCTGCACAATGGGTGCATTGCAAAGGAACTGCTTCCAGCAATAGGAACAAAAGTAACATTCAAGGTTGCACACTGAACAATTACTTTGCCAGTTGTGCTTTGATGCCAAGTGGTTTAGTTTGCCAAACTTAGCTCTTTTTCATTTTAGAAGCTTTAAGGAATGGAAATAAGATGCTTTGTATACTTTCAAGTGAGGGGATTTATTGGATGGGTTATGGTACTTGATGAAGCCCAGGACTACTCCCTCCAGTATCTGACAGCTGCTCTTGTCAAAGGATGGTACCAAGCATCCAGTAACTGAGGAATACAGCTCTCTTCCTGTGTTTTGCATCATGTCCAATAACTACAAGGGAATTTAGATGATACCAGTGTAAAATCTTGCTTGGCTGCAGTGGTGGGAGAGTTCAGAACCTAGCTTTCAAACAATAAATTAGAAGAGATCTATAATTAGCATGCTCACTTCTGTGCAACTGGAAGTGACTACACCTCATGAAAGAATTTGGAGCAATAAGCCATCCAGAAGCATTCCATTGCACCTACCTCTTTATACGAAAATCAAGTGTTACGAGAGTCTGTCATTGTTCAGCAAGAGAACTGCAACAGGTGAGTGCAAGCTTCATTCTGATTTACATTCTGAAGCACAGTATCATTAAAAACTGAAAACAGAATCCCAAGCTAAGAAATGGGAGGAAAAGGGGGTGAAGAAAGAGGAGAGTAGGCAATTACATCAGATCAGATAAATCTAGTGTTTTGAAGCCACACAATGTTTAGCTTTTCCTTTTATTTGTTTCAAGTTTTGGTGTAGAGAGTATGTGCAGATGCTAATGCAACCTTCCCTGTAAGTGCTCGATCTAGCAACGAACAAAGTTTTGGTGTGTTCAGTTTGGTTATAAACGTTTCCTTTAAGTGAAGACCTGTAGTGCCATTGAAACCAAAACTTTGTTACTGTTGGCAAAAAAATAAAGCAACTTTTCTTTACAAGCATTTTTCTGCTTAAATTAAAAGCCTGAAGCTTTCCCATAATTCCTTTGGTCTTCTCTCACCAAATTCCATGCTACCTCAAGACAAGCCCTCTTTTGGAAGTTCGGCTGAATCGCACTGAAGCTGCTAAAATTAACAGAGAAGAATTGCTGTGGTAAAGTTTCCCCCTAGTTTTTGGGAGTTTAAGACTGAAAGACATTACTAATGCCTCAAACAGAGGCTTCAAATTGTCTCTACGAGAACAAGAGAAAACAAAATCCGATCAGAAGTTCCACTGAAGGTTCCACTGAAGGTGCCTGGCAAAAGATTATCTCCACAAAACGATGTTTTGCTTCCAGTATTTTTGTATGCATTGTGTTGAGTTTATTCCCCTCATAAGGAAACAAAAGTATCAGTGTAAAAGCACAGCTGAGCTTTTAAGGTAGCACCAGGACACCTACACCCAAGTTGTCATCTTGTTGCTGCTAGGCCTCTTTTTGATTCACATTCACAGAATCACTTCTTGTGCAAAACAAGCAGTCTAAGGAGAAAGAATGCCCTCCAAGTTCTAATAAAAATTGTAGAAAAGAATCCAAGATAGCCAACACTTTCCTCCTCCCCAAAATTTACCTGCAGAGAGAGGGGGGCATCTGTGTGTAGACAGGATAGGCAAGCCTAACATTTAGGGAATCATTGTGTTGGACAAGGGATGTCTGCTGGTAATGAAGAACCAAATCCTTAAGTGTGCTGTACAGGTTATACGGTTCTGCAAACCCATAACCTCTTGGAGTGCTGTAGATCACACAGTGTTTCACTTCTCCATCAGCTCTGCAAAGAAAAGAAACAGGAGAGTTTAACATCAAAGGACAAACCCAAAGTGACAGTCTATTAACAATTAACTAACACAGTAACCTGCTAGTCACTAAATTACATAATGGAGGATCCAGTAGATGCAAGTAGAGGAGATTAATATAGTCTGTGAAGAAACACTGCTTCAGGGCATACGATTAAACACTCTTGCATAATAATCCACATAAGAGGCCTCTTCTACCCCAGCAGTAGAGTTTCCTAGTGCACTGCTCTCCAAATGATTCTTGGAAAAACAAAAAGTCAAGAGCTTAACCAAGAAGATAAGCACCTAAACTCAGCCACGACTTTGAGCTCAACTTATCTGGATACCTTTCCAGTAAGTGAAGCAGCCAAAGCCCACAAATTCTTAGGGCCTAAAGAGTATTTCATGAAATGCAGCACTAGGCTTCAGTGTGCATTTTTTTAATGTGAAGCATGGCATGAGTTCAAGGTGGTTCATTATCTGAAGTCATAGCGACTGAGTCCCTAACTTGGCAAAGCAGTTACTGCAACACAGTATTTCCAAAGCTGCTAGAAAAAACTTATGTGCCAGAAAGATGGAGTATTATGTTATCCCTGTACTGGAGCCTATTATAATCCAAGTCACATGTAGGAACAGGTTACATTATGTCAGCCCTTTCCTAGCTTGTGGTACAATACCAACCAAGCAAAACCATCTGATGAGCAGAGTCACTCCAGTGACAGTGATAAACAGTATCTTGAACATAGCAAAAACTACAATCTTCAGTTGCTTTGAGGTCATATACCTTCATATATTCATTTCTCAGACTTGCTTTCAGAAGTAATTAACTTCATGTGAAATAAATCAGTGAAAGCCATTTTGCACTCCAGAGCAGGCTTGAAGGATTTTTAGATAATGGAATCAGAGTATTTCTGACCTCCATTACACCAGCATAAAATGAAGAGAAACACAAGAAATCAATGCAAGGCTGTGTGAATGTCATAAAAAATACGGCTCACAAATAATGCCTCCTCTGAAGCTTCACTGTTACCTTAAACATACAAGGTCTACAGTTGGGCATGTCTGAAAATGGGAACAGAAGATACTAGAGCTTTACAGACCCATTTACCTTCTTCCCATGTGTTCCTCGTCAGGGAAGGATATGGGAGAATTTGGCCTTAATTTATGTAAGACTGTAGAGCTTCAAGTTGGGATACTTCAGAATTTTGTACTAGCTACTGTGGTGACTGCAGAGACTACAGTTACTGCACATTCAAAGCACATTTGTTTGCAACAAAGCTTTTACCATGCTAGTCTTCTTGCAAACACTCAACACATTCCAATGGGTAGGCCTAGGCTATGCCTGGCTTTTGTTCTCCAAAATAAAGAGCTGTGGTAGAGATTTATGAATTGAGCAGTTAGAACGAGAAGGAAAATAGACTTACACCACAGAACAAGCGTAACACCCTTTCTTGCTACTCTCACGAATTAGAAATGCTCCATCAGGTTTCCCACAGAGCAAGTCTTCTGCTTGGATACGGTTGAGATCTCCCACAAACCAAGTTTTCTCATCATGATGTGGCAGGTTTTCATCTTCTTCATTCACAAAGTATGTGCTGAAGCAGAAAAAAAAATTTGTTAACTTAACCAGTGGTCAGTAAAGGAGTTAATAAACAGAGTGATTTATCTCTGCAGAAGTCATTCAAAGAAATACCAGAACATACCCAAACTGGGAAGTCAGACTCCTAATGGACAGATATTAAACGCTTCAACTACAAACTTGACTGTTCCAACTTTGTTTAATCCTCTATGTTTCAGCAAAGTTGCTGCCTCATGTCACAAAGTTCCCTCCAAGAATTTCTCCCTTTTTCTGCAGTTCTTTTTTCTACAGTCCTTTACTGAGAGGACTCATGTTTTGTATTACTGATCCCCACAACAGAAAACACTTATTAATGGAACACTTCTCAGTAAAATCATATATATAGTGACACTTACTCATCAATATTTTCATTTTTGATCCCCAGCCAGTCGTTTATTCGCTTCTGTCTCACCCCTTTGTGATTGAGCCATCTGCCAGAAGAAGAAAGCATTAATACATTACTTTAGAGTACATGTATGGTTGGTTGTTTTTTTTACTGAGCAAGCTGAAGCTTAGACACAAGATAACAAAACAGTCTGGGGCTTAGTTAGTTCTCCAGCAGCAGAAGCCACAAGAAAGATCATAGATTCCATAAAAGCACTTCCTTGCATCATCATCTGAGATGCCTCCTTTACTGGACACAGCAAAAAGAAGCCATGAAGTAACCTCTTCAATGGAGAAAGAAGAGGGTTGTTGAGCTGAGGCAGAGGTACTGCCTCTGCACAGTGCAGTCCAGAAAAGAAGTGGAATATAAGTTGTGACAGCTGCCTTTTTCTCTTGGAAAAACAAAACGGGTATTGCCATTGGCTTCTTCTAACCAAAGACCACCTTTTGAGAGTGTTTCCCCTCTGTCTTCTGCCAGAATTCTAGTGCACTGACTCCAGCCCAAGGACTTTAGGATCTGGATAAAAGGGTGTCAGTGAAATCAAGGGTGGGTGTGAGCAACAGCTGCCACACCCAGCACAAAAAATATTAACCTCCGTTGTATTAGAGGGCACAGGTTCAATTTATAGCTCATTTATATTAAATGCTTTATTTACAGGAGTTACAGAATGTGCACCTAGCTGTGGCAGGCTCTTGAAATCTCTAATGAAGTCATGAAAAGGTCAACCAATTGCTCAGACATCCCATGCCAGAACATAGTACCTTAGCACACACAGAACTCTGGTTATGAAAAGAGAATTAAATTCCCATTATCACAGTGGAAACAGTCATTGATCAGGTTCATCAGAAACACTCTTCTGAGGTACAGGTCAGGCTTACTTACACAAGATACTGATCTCTGATTTTGCGGAGCTGAATTAAGTCAGGCTTGATACTATTCATTTTCTTATCAGTCTCCCTGTTGTCCAGAGCTTGTTTCTTCAAATCTTGCTCCAGGCGCATTTTGCTATCATGGATCTCACCCAGGCGTGATTTTAATTTTTCATAGTTCATCATGATCCTGCAAACAAGTATAATATTTGAGAGTTGAAACCAGTATAGAAGGACTTACCCTTAACAGTAGCACTTACATAACTGTATCACAAAAACTACCATAATAGCAACCCCTCCAATTGACAGCCTCATCTTGAGAATTACTGTAAGAGCAGCAGAAAAGACCTCTTGCCAGAAGGCCTACAACCTTTTTACATAGTATGAACCTTCCATTTACCTTAATACATTTCCTTCTGGCAGAGATGCAGGAACAAGTTTTCTCTAGGAAGGTAAGCTAGAACAGATTCTTCCCTCACTGTCAGATTCTTTTTTTGGTATATCAATTATGCAATCCCACCATAGGTATGAGTACAGGCAAGACTTCAATTACTGATCAAGAGCTACCAGGAAGTAATGCTGCCTGTCTCTTTATTCAAGGTAAGTTTGCAGGTTTGGTACATTTCAGGAAAATCACATATTTTCCCTGTTAATCGATCTTAAGTCAGAATGTAGCATCACAATCATGTAACAAGATTGTTACAGGTGACTGCTTCCAGTCTGAAAATCTCCTTAAGGTTACCTTACCATGATTCATAAAGCAGTGTGTCAAGTTAGGCATTATACCTGGCATCTCTTCAAAGACCCAGAACACATACATCTTTTCCTGCTGTTATCTTCACAGAAGGACAATTTCAAATGAGGCCCTTACTGAATGTCTGTTAGATGACCACTATCCACTAACAAGTAGTGACAATTAAATACTGATCTACTTTGGAAATGATTAAAACCGATTATGGCCTATAAGATTTACCAGATCTATGTACATTTCACAGTTTGCAAGTAAAGGTTTTCTGGAATTATATTCTGAGCAAATTCAAATAGAAGTGGGATAAGCAAACTAAATCATTATTTCCTGATCTTCTCCTGGTCCTCATCACAGTAGCTTGATTTACTGCAGTCAAGACAGAGAATAATCCAGAGATCTCCCACCTCTTCTGTCTACAATGCAATTCATCAACAGAACAGGGCTTTACTGAAGGTCCAGACACCTTGGGGGAAGGTCTCAGAGAAAAGACCGAGTTTATTAAGTGATTTATATGATACAATATCAATAAAAATTTCACAGGGGTGCCAATGGGGACACTTGTTCTTCCTTATAAGCAAGTACAACTAGAGAGCCTACCGTTCGATTTCTTTGTCGTTTCCCTCCCTGCGAAACCGCTCAATGTATTCTTTGCTGTATCGCTCTTGTGAGTGGCACTGTTCCTCAAATATCTTAATAGTTTCATTAAATGCTTCAATTGCGGTCCTCTTCATCTGAATTTCCTATGTGAGGAAAGAGTCCATCATTTGTTCATGCAAGAATGAGGCAATACACAATGCAAGACTCAATTATGCTCCCTAAAATTGACTGAGATGAACTTCCCCCACCCCTAAGTCAAGACATGATAGATCAGTTAAATTTAGTCAAATATCCAAGCACAGTCAGGGAAGTACAGGGAAAACTTACTCCCTGTAAGTCAACCCTCCTCCCCCACATGATGCTCTCCATTAGGCTGCAAACCCCTCAAATATTTTAGTCATATTTTCCATCTTAGTTTACAGGAAAACTGCCAGCAAACCTCCTCTCCATGTATGAGCTACTTACTTTACAAGAAGCAGTCCAAATACTGTATTCACACTTCCTTAACTCATAATATCTGCTGATTTGAACATGTCTTTATAAGAAACCTGGACAAGCCCCTCTACAATTCTCACTACAGCATACAACAGCTGGACATACTCAGCAGCCAAGACAGAAGTTGGCAGTCAAAGTTTGCAGGTGATGGCCTTCACCACCACTCTACCTTATACTACAAAGTTCAGCTCCTCTTTCTTCCTGCCACACACCATACTTCTAGGACTACTGACAACAACTAATATTCACTGAAACCACCTTGCTCTATTCCACAATTTACTAGGTTTTTTTCCCTTGCATTTTCCGACCTTAGACTGCCTTTGTTAGCTGTAACAGGTTAAAATAATTTTCTTCACTTTTTAAGCAACAAGAAACAGACCCTACAGATAGCTAAAGCAGAACCAACCTGTGATGTTCTAGTATATTCTTCATACAATTTGTCATACTCTTTACTCTTCTCCTGATATTGAGCATGGTATTCTTGAAGCTTTTTACCTACTGCATCTATATTATCTTCTTTCACCAACTGATCCTGTGTGATACAAAAAGCCATTAAGAAGTCTTCAAGCAAAGCAGCTTTTCCTTCAGAGTATTCATTTGTCCACTTATGCATATTTGCATCTTAAATTAGCATAATTTTTATAATCAGATTTCTACGCAACAAAAACAGTGCATCTAAAATCCCCCTTTCTCCATGCAAGAAGTTCCACAGTTTACAGACAGTAGGAACTGAAATTATGGGACATTAAGAACTACGCCAAAGTACTGTGTTTCCAAAACCACACTACAGTTAAGCTCTAGGATGGCTAACCCCTATTGGAGAAAGCAAAAAGAAATTGCTCGGAATCTGAAGTTAAAAAATCAGAGTACCCCTTATTACGAGCAAAGTGAGCTCAAATAGGAAAAATAAATCACGTTTCACATACAGAAAACAACATTATATACACATTTGCAATTTTCTTCTTGTCTGCACTAATAGTTTTTGGGACCTGATGAAGATCTTACCTGCTGGTACCGGGACACCGGATACATCAACTTCACATCAAGCTTCGGGTTATACTGAGCAAGAGACTCATTGCGGTAATGGTTGATCAGTTCCACGACTGAATTAAACGTCAGTGGATCAGAAAAGCCGTATTTCCCATCCCGATGGTAGATCTTTATCAGTTTGTTGTTGCCACCCTTCCTGTAAAGTGGCACAGCCATTTAGAGGTTTTACTCCTATCCCTCTTCAACACTAAGGCTGCTAACAAAGACACCAGCGAAATTCCTGGCAAGTGGCTTTGACATTGTACACTTCATAATGATTCTTTACATACTAGCAGATATTAGGTAGTTTAAGAGTCAATACACACAGAATTATGATCAGATATTATTTGAACAGGAGCAAAGCCCAAAGTAAATCTCTTCCTATGTGTTCATTCTGGAGTCAGCTTATGGTATTTAAGACCTAGCATTGCCAGAAGTTTTGCAAAGGAAAAGAAGTATGCTTAAGGCTAAATAGAGAAGCCATATGAAAACCCAAACCCACTATTTCCTGCAATTTGGGGTCACTAATAGTATACAACTGAGTATACATTTATACAGTGATTAACAAGTCTTTTGAGTTATGGCTGCTAATACAGGATACACAAACCTAAACAAAACCCTTTGAGGATTACAAGAAGGTTGCAAGTTTAGGACTTTACATAATCCAGATTTATACATTCTAGTGGTTTCCAAAAATATAGTGCTTATTTCTTCCTTTTTTTAACCAGCAGACTATTTAGACAATATCCTGTCCTTTCTGCACTCTCAATTTTGGTTCCCAAAGACATCTGCATTCAGCAAAATAACCAAATCATGCCAAACCTAGACAGCACAAGCTGTGAACTTCAAGGTCAAAGTCAAAGTAGAATTTAAACTACACCCTTGGGGTCAAACCTGTCATTAGACAACAGAATTTCATGGCAAGATCAAACATCTACTGTATCGTAGTAACTCCCAAAGGTGTGCTACAGCAGCAGTGGCTTATGCACCTTGTCCATTTGCCTCTAACAACCAGTTCTGGGAGTCTGGCAGAGGGAAGTGGCTGGACAGGCTGGGCAAGGCACCAGCAGCTAGTCACATGAGGTCTGCTGCCTAACTGCAGTAGACAGAGCTGGGGCAGCTCTGGGAAGACTGCCACTTGCAGGCAATTTTAATGAAGAAAGCAACATGGCTCCAGTGCAATATGTCATAGAATCACAGAGTGGTTTTGACTGGAAGAGACCTTACAGATCATCTAGTTACAACCCCTTTTTTACAAAGACATTGTGTTCAGTTCTCCAGAGCTGCTTGCTGATATTCAACACACTCCCGTTAATCAAAGACCTAGTTTATAAATACCTTTTACCTCAGCAATCCTGAAACTACGAAGCACTACTGAGTAGCTCTCCTCCCTGAGTCCCATCTAATCTACACAGAGATCATTACAGTAATATTTGCTGAGTGACAGGATTCAATGCGTAGAACAGAACCAACTACCAGACCTGGCTATTTATTTGTTCATTCTGTGATCTGCAGTTCCTTTGGGAACATCTCTCTACTTGAGCCATACCAGATTTACACAGCCACTGCTGTCATTGGTATAGCAACTAGCTACTCAGGGGTTTCCTATGTGGACTACAACTGCTCAGTGCTTACCGCAATGTCAGGGTGTAGTCTCCCTGCATCTTGGTTGATGCATCACGCACCAGGAATGTCCCATCTGGCATGTCTCGTAATTTGTCATTTACTTCTTCCCTGGAGAATGGAAAGAAAGGTAAAATTACAAGTGCTAAAGACATGAATATAGAATGGTTTGTGCTGGAAAAGATCGCCTAGTTCCAAAACCCCTGCCACAGGCAGGGACACCTTCCACTAGACCAGGCTGCTCAAAGACCCTTCCAACCTGGCCTTGACAACTGCCAGGGATGGGATCATCTTTGCCACAGGTATCAGCACTGGAGGAAGGAAACCAAGCATGCATAAAGAGTTCAGTCTTCAAAATAACAGGCAATTCTCTTTCACACTCAGGCTCTCCGGTCTTCTAGGCCATCTAAAACAAGTCTGAACTTGTGTAGTTAAACTAAAAAATAGCAGCTGCAGTCAACTGCCACTTCGGAAGAAGTCTCTGTTCAAGCAACAGTAGCAGCTGTGTCTCAGAGTTCACAACCTTTCCCTGTAATCTGCTCAGGTTTTAAAGTCCACACTGGAAACAGGTGCCCTTTGAGAAGCCACTCCTGACCTCTTAAGAAATGGTCTCTAGCATCATGGCTCAGAGGTGTCTAGAGTTTAGCACAGTTTTAGTCTCAAGAGACTCATTATTGGCTTAACTCTGATCTTATTTACAGTAGTTTTAAACCACTACAACCTTTCTAGCTTCAGTGCAACTTTTCCTTATTTACAACTGAAGCAAAAGGATACTCAGTCCAGAACTTTAAGCCAAATGAAGAAATAGTTTAGTTAAAGTGAGTACCAGTAAGCATTTAGAAAATTATTTCATCTGAAAGATTAAGTGTCTTGCCAGGCTTAACTATTTCACTCATTCTATATCTCACTTTTATAAACAGCTCCCTACAGGATTAGAGGCACTAAACAACTTTGAATACGATCATTTGGAAACTAAAGTTTATCCAGTAGCCTCAACATTATCTAAGTCAGGCAGGAAGCCTACTTGCATCTTGAAAAGAAAAGTCAACAGCAGCTTTTTTGTTCAAATACTAAGGAACTAAAGCATTCTTACAAAATAGCCTTAGTTTTGATTCAGCTACCTGAAAGCCATTCTGTTCATAAAACTGACTCCTGTTAAGCATCAAGCGCATATCCACTTAGTCCTCTCAGAATATTTTACACATTGGCCACAGTTAACTCAAACAGCTCTCTTCTTTTTGAATGGATAGGTATGCTCTAAGGGCTTGGGCTTATGCCCATGAGTTGCACCCTGGAGCTCATGACAACATTTTGAGCACATGTTCTTGACTGAAGAAGACATGGCTCCTGCCCTGACAGCTTGATGCAGTCCGTACCCGCTGGCTGTCAAATTAGGGTTGTAAATAATTCCATCTTTACATGCGCGTGTATCACATTTTAATTTAATAAAGCCACTCCAATGTGATTTGTGCTGCATTAGCTCCTGCCATCACGTGCACTGTTAATTAAGGAACAAATCCAGAGTCAATAAACTGATACCAATATTGAGCAGTTTTAAACAAACCCTGCCTAGTGGGGTTTGGGATCAGGTTTTGTCACTTTACTGCAATTTAGAATTAATATCTATCAGAAAAATATCACTGCCGAGGCCCTTCAAAAGCAAGATCTATGCAGGTTTGCTTTGTAAAGATAAGGGTGGTACAATAAAGATATGAGAACTTTTTTTTCCTTCTGAGAACGTCAATGAACTACTGTGGCAAACATGCTTTTCTTGCCCCTATCTGGCAAAGTGTTTCAAAGTATTATGTGCACAAGTTTGAGCAATTCCTGATCACATTCCCAGCATGATCATGTTTCCCATTACAGATTCAAATGTAGACTCTTTAGAAGTGCCTTAAGAGAGGAAGGGATGACTGGACACTCCCATTCTTTTATGCAATTAAGTATATAAAACCTGGCACTTCATTTTCTGAACTTATCCCAACCTATCTATTTTCACAAGCACACAGAAAAGGGTTTTCTTAAGAGGGAAATCTTACTTGCTATGCTTCTGTGTCATCTGCTTAGTATAGCTGGTGATGGTTAGCATTTGTAAGAGCTATTTTTATACCAACATGTAATAGAAATCAATACACATGCAAATTTAACCAAATGTTAAAGAAACCAAAAATAAGAATGAAACTCTTTATTCTGAGCAAGCCTCCTATGGAAATTTTGCAGAACTGCATGCATCTCAGAGTTGTATGCTTACAAACCCTTATTAGTTAACATATTCAGAAGCACTTTTCTTTTGAATGAACTGATTTTCTCTATTTTAAAGACTCTGTGTATCTGAAGAAATTTACAAACCCAGAATAACTGTCACCAAGATTGGTAATATCTGCACCACAACAGTAACAACTTCAGCACAAGCCCTAAATCCAGTCAAATATTTTCATTTAGGTGCTTTACCAAGTATTAGCCCTGAAGCATTTCCTTCCTGTAAAATGCTGCCTGAAATGGCACGTTCTTTTTCTCTTTAACAGGCTTATTCTATTTTTAATGACATATTAATATATTTTAATGTATTTTAGTAATATTACTTACCTTGAGATGTCCCCCCAGTACCACTCTGCTTCCTGCAGAGAGAAACTGGAATTGTCCTTTATTCCATTTGTATTGACTGGAGTCATTGGTTTGGGGGGCTTTGGAGGAAGAGCTGAAAATGAAGGACATATTAAAGAAAGGTAAACAGGGGAAAATAATCACTAAACTGATAATAAAATGACAGTGAAAAGGCAAGAGAAAATATGCATCTTGAATTTTAAGCTCTCTCAAATGGAATTTGCCATTTTTTAAGAATTCTGAAATCAACCGCAGCACTGTGATCCCAGATTTCCTAGTACTCAAACCAAACAGGTACTTGAGGGAAGAAAAAGGAGTGGAATATGAGGAAACATGAGTTTTTGTTAAAAGGAAGACTGTCTCAGGCATGACTATGCAGGCAATCACCACCTAGAACTCCAAACAAGTTACAAAGGCGTGTTGTGTTTGAGAGCCACATCCTGGAGAACACTGTGCACCACTATGGAAAAACTCCTGTTGCTCAGGTATCACCACTCCTTATGGCAACTTGGAAGAGCAAACAGGTAGACTCTTCTTCAGAGGGAAGAATGCAAGCGAGAGAAGTGATAGCTGGGCAGTGGCACACCCAACATAGACCCAAGGTTCATGCTTCATACTAGATGTGTCATTTAGGCTCCTGTAGGCACAAAAGCTATGACTCTCAATGCTGCCAGACATGAGGTGATAACGGAAGGGGAAAGGGGACATTTGGTGCAGGCATTTAATAATGACCTCTTTACATAGCTGAAGTGTTTATCACAGGAAAGGTGATCTTACAAATCTCTAAATGACCAGCAGAACTACACATCTGTAGGCCTTGTGCATACCTGCCCAGAACTCCCCTATTCTGAATTCAAGACAAACAGGCTTTTATTTCAGTTCTCAAAATAGGTTATACAATGCAAGGGAATACAACACACTGAAGCTCTTTCTACTTGGCAAGTTTTTGCTCAAACAACTTCATAATGGTCTTGAATGTAAGCCCTGTATCAGAAGTAATTGAGCAGCCACAGGCATGCTCATGTAGTGCTCTCCCCTGCTTTGCAGAGGGTGGACTCTTCATCAAGAAGACTGCCACTGAAAGCGAGTACTTTTCCAGGCATTTCATGAGACAGTGTTTTACAGGGACAGGTCACATCTGAATTCAGAGTAAGAAAGCAACTACACACATTGATTTGCTACTAGCATATTTTTAAGTCAGACCCTGAACATCTGTGCTCCAGCCCTGTCCCCTAGCCATCAGATTACACAAGCATCAGCAAGCAGGCCTGACACACTGACAACAGCCATCTTTCAGATGCACACGATCCCAGCATACAGGAAGAAATACAAATAAAGGGAGCAGAAAGAAGATTTTGATCTCTACCTCCAGTGTGGAATGGCTTAATGCTGAGAGGTGTGCTACTTGGCACCATCCATCTGCTCACCTCCGAGACACACCTCCCACATTAAAGAAGAGAAAACAGTGTTCCAACTGCAGCTCCAAATACCATCTCATGTTGAATATCCAACACAGTAACTTTACTGTTCTCTTACAAACCAGTAGATACGTTAATCGAGCCAATCTAAACTAAATCTGAACCTTGACCCAGACATTTGCACCCTGGGGTTGCTGACCAAACACCTGATTCAGATAGCAGCATTCATTCTGCGGGAATGAGTATTAAACCGTAGCATACAGGTTCTTTTTATGGGGTGAGCTGGGAACTTTCAGGTGCACACATATCTAGTGAGGCAATAACAGGTCTTGTTATAAAAGGAAGGTGAAAACCTTTGGATTCAGTGAATTAGCTTCCTGGTTAGCAGGCTTCAGTTATTCCTTGCTCAACTACTACAGTTGTTTGTATAGCACCTAAGTATTTGTACAAGGCACCATTGAGAGTATGACAGTTGTAACCTTACTTTGCTTGAAGCTCCCAGCCCCATCCTATTTTGGAGACAGAGGAGCATATATCTAGGCTAAGCCTGTACAGTCAGCTGTATTTACTGTGTTCCACCTCCCGCATTCAAAGGTCCTGAATTTTCTAGAAAATGTCTTCACCTCCTCCCTCCTCCCCACCTCTCATCTGGACTCTGCTACCCTACATACAACAGGCCACATGCAGTGGTTCAGAGTCTCATCAGTGCCTGCACATGGCAGTAAATCTGAGTTCAGAAAACCTGTAGAAGTTCTGATCTACTGCCGAATCCTGCTAATTCCGAGTCATCAACAAGCACATATGACACTGTGGAGAATTCTTAGAAAGCTATACCAGCACTAACAATTATTTCACTGGGTCTTGCAAGTTCAGGCTTGGATGTTATCAAATACTTCAAGGTATTTTACACTGTAAAAGCCTGTTTTACAATGGTAATAGGGGCTTTCTAGAAGAGCCTTTCAAGTATTCCCTAGAGTACTTGAATACTTCTCTAGCCCTCCTTGTAAGATTAAGTCTTGCTCCTTTATATACTGTGGAATCATTTAGCAGCTTTGTTAGGGCTCACTCCAAAGCACTGGGCACAGAAAAGCAAACTAACAAAGACTAGAAAGGTAAGGAACAGGAGTTTGTCACACAGAGAACACTAGGCATTACACCAAATGTCCTCACCAGAAGTGAGGTTTTCTCCTTCTTTCCCTTAACGGGTAGGTATCAGTTCTCACTATCGGGGTTTCGTCTGCAGAACTTCCTTCTGCATGAGAAAACTGGAAGGAAATTCTTCCACGGAGAAGAATAAGGCTTGGACTAGTTCCTGTAAAACCTGACTCATGGAAGCCAGTCCTTTTCACAATAGACTTTTCAAAAATGCCTTTTAATAGCTTGCAGACTTAAAAAATACAAAAGTATTTGCAAGGGTGGATCCTGTTTCCAGAAAGCTATGGACCCAAGTCCTTACTTTCAATACTTTGAGCTCTTTGAGTCATAATAGATTTTCCCCTGTATTGGATACAGAACCAGATCCTGGCTATTGCTTTACCCAGCAGACTAACATGCCCACCCACTTCAGTGTTTCTTGGCTTGCCTTTCAGGCTGTATGACTGTAGCCTGTACAAATGGAGAACTGAGCACGAAGGTGGTTTAAACCCACAGCACAAAACCTGTGATGATAGAAGGGGAACATTTTGTAATACCATGGCAAGTGTGCTGTAACAGAGCACCCTATCCACCCTATTGCTGCTCTCGAAACACTGGCCCAATGGGTTGCTACATGAGGCATCCTAATAGTTTTTACTAGTACCTAGACAGTCCTAGCCACCTTGCTAGGAGAAATCCTGTGACGTTTTTATGAGATGCTACAGAGAGCCTTAAAGAGTCTAGAAATTTTTATTTAAATTAAAAAAAAAATCCAGTTTTGATGAACATTACAGAGATAAAATCCTACAGTAAAATAAAGCTGGCTTGAAGTCAACAGAAATGCTTTCAAGAACAGCCGTGTTTCTTTCCATGTCACTAGGTCCAATTCTGATCTAGCCACAGGCACAATCTTACTTTATCTCAGAACAAGCTCTGATTAGAGCGAATGATCCTCATGGTTTCTTGCCTCTTTTTTTCCTGGGAGAGAAAGAACATTGATCACAAGTGATTAACAGCACAATGGACCTATCTGGTCTAATAAGGAACTTGCTGTTAGCATTAGATACACAAGCATCTTTCTCCTACCACATCTCTAGGACAGCTTTACAGCACAAATCTTTCCAAAACCCAAGAGACAACAACTCAGCTGGACCATTCAATTCCACATGAGTGCATTCCCAAAATCAGGTTCAGCCTTCAGTGACCGCTTGGCACACAGTGATGACAGCAGACTGGCTTTTCCTTATGCACTAGCCGACATCCCTGCTTTTTCTTTCTTTAGCAACTCTAGTCCCCTCTTCCTAGCTTCCCCAAGCAGCCTAGCTTGAGCTAAATCCCAATCCCTGATCAGTGTCACTTAGAAGGGCAGAAATAAGAAAAGGAGCTGGTGATGAAGTGGAGGCAACAGCAGCCAATGCGGGCTGGACCCTGGATCGGATGTTGCTGACGTCAGGGCCCGGAAGGCTGCTGTGCCGGCTCCAGCAGGTAGCTTCAGCTGAGCTGCTCTGCAGAGTGCAGCGCAGGCCCTCAGAGAGAAAAGCCTATTGATTAGGCTTTGCCAAGGTAATTTTTTTTTTATGCTTTCTTGACTGCATAGAATTGCTTTTTATAAAGGCTATTCAACATTTATTTGACTTGATTCCCTGAAATTCAAACCACCTCCAACACCAAGACAACCAAGAAAGCTGTCAAGTGCTGAAGTTTAGCACCATTGTATTTTTTTTAAAGTCTCTTACATAAAATAGTAGCCTATATTAATCCTGAGTTTAACTTCTGCACAGTACTCCGTGACATCCATGAAATAGGCAGTTTCCCCAGTCAGGTTTTTGAATGAAAAACTTCAAAAATTTACATGATCTAAGAGCCACTGATCCCTATGCATGAAGGCTTCCAATGGCACTAATTCTAACAGAATGAAAGCAGAGGAATGTCTTGGGTCTCCAAGTGCTACATCCACACAACACCCAGTCAAGCAGCCCAAACTTCTCTGGCTGCAGTATTTGTGTACATGATCAACCTGCCAGTCAATTCAACTCCAATTTGCAGTTTTAAGGAAGGTGCCACTTAATCCCAAGAATGGCACCATAACTTCCTACTTCCAGTATTTTCCAAGAGCTGCAGGCTAGATACCTAAAACCACAGCAGGTTTAAACCGTTAAAATAATCGTAACTACCAAGTATTCTGATGAGAAAATGTTAATACACTCAGCACTTCCATGAGCTTGTTTACAACCTTCTTTCTGATGGTCACAGTCAACTCTCCTTCCACATTGTGACAAGCAGAAAACAGATCAGAGGATTTCCAAGACAGTTACCCAGCTTCAAAAAGGCTGATGTACAGTAGATACTCTATAAACCATAATATAAACCTCCAGAAAATGTCATTTCCATTACATGGAAACATACAAGTAATCCATGGTGAGGCCAGCTAACGTTGTAATGACAGAGTCCTTAAGGACAGAAGGGCTTTCCCTTTGGAGGTATAGATGAAGACTTGGAATGAAATTGTAGGCTAGCTTTCTAAAAAACAGAAAAGTCTCCC